CATCTATTTTTTTATTTATGTAATTATAATATTCATCATCGGGTATTGACATATTACCAGAATTACCATCGCCCCATTTGTCATAAAACGATTCAGTTTGTTTAACAACAGTCGTAATTTGACTGGTCGATGGTATTTCATTTACTTCCTGAGCCTCTTGTAATTTAATATAATCTTTTATATAGTTTTCCGTCATCTTGCGATCTGTCCCTGACTACATACGTAATTGCTTGAATTTGGGACAGAGAAAAAGAAAAATAAAATGATACTGGTGTAAAACAAATTTTTCAATTAAAAATGCTTTATATTAAGAAATATTTCTCCTTTTTCTCTTTGAAAGGTATTACAAACTTCAAGAAGTGATATTCCTTTATTTGATTGTTTTGGTAAAATATATTCTAAAAATTTAGATATGAATTATAAAAAAATATATTAATAATACTTGAATATTGGGGCTTATATAAAATATTCCATTATTTGATTGTTTTGGTAAAATATGTTGTAAAAATTTAGATATGAATTATAAAAAAATAAATTAATACTTTGAATAAATTTGCAGGAAATTAATAATTAGATCGATCTGTGGGTGTTAGGTAGTGTTAACCATCACCCAATATTATATTAATCATAACTATAATATAATATAATCTTATAACCATTAACTCATAATGTAAAAATTTTTATAAAAAATAATAAGGCCCGGCCCGGGTTTAACTATCTTAGGCCCGGCCCGGATATATTTTAAAAAAATTTTTAAAGCCCGGCCCGGGTGTATTTAAAAAATTTAAAATACGGCCCGGGCCGGGTTTAGGGCCGGGCCTGCAGGTCTCTGATATATACACATCATTGGCATCAATAGGCATAATATAAAAAAAGAAATTATTCAACAAAGGTGTTTGTAAAATAACAATATGCATAAATTAAAAATTTGTGAATCAAACAAAATTGAATGATAATAACTTTTAAACAATTCGGGTCAACCTGATTCACTAGCATTTCTAGATGTTCGATTTAAAGCTTCAGGTTGGATAAAAAATAACGGTTATCGGTTTGATTGTTAGTTGAAGATTTAGTCTGGATCCAGGCGCGTACGCAGCGGGGGGGGGGGCAGGGGGACAAATCCCCCCCCCCCCCCCCCAAAGCCAAAAAATGCAGATGCCGGATATATTTTTCAAAAATATTAATTTATATATTAATTTATATTTGTTAGTATTTATTCGTATCTCATATTAAATATAAATTTTATTACATTTATTATCACATTCATAAGTTATTTTATCAATTAATTTCGATTTCAAGTTTTTCGGCGTAATATTTACTTATTATTTTCAAATTTTTAGTGGCTTAATATTTATCTACCATTTTCAAATTTCTAGTCACAAATAATTATTATTTCTGAAATTTCAAGTCCAACAGGGAAAAAAAATTGCAACCTTGTCCAACGAGATAGAGCCTCTTCCATCAAGCACTAAAAGCTATTAAGAGTTAGAAGAACCAATTATTACTGAAATATCACAATGGCCTGAAAGAAATATTTCCTCAGAAGCAAGAAAATTATTGGATTCAAAGCTTATTTCAACTTTTATTTCTCATTAGAATGTATTATTGAATTATACAACTATTTTAAATATTACTTTTCAAAAACATGACATTGATTTGATTAAGAAGATGAGAATAGCAGAGAGCATTTTATCAGAACTCAAAGAAAGGGCTAATGTTGATGAAGAATTTCATATTTTATTGTTTAGTCTAAAGCAGAGCGATACGTGTTTAATATTTGTCTCTCTCGACTTGTAGCAAGGCAAGCTCATCGTTAAAACATTAATATAGGATCAGTAGAAGAGTATATCTTAAATACAGATACATTTATAACCCAAATAAATGAATTTTTAATTCATCATGCAGCACTTACTAATCTGCAAATATTACTTCCACAAAAGCCTTCCCAACCTTTTTCAGATGGTGATAAAAAAAAATATTTGTTAGATTTTTATCATGAAGATGTTAAAGTATCGATGCCTTACTAGCTGAATAACTATGTTTATAAGATTAACTATGGTTGATATAGTCCCCAAAAATTCTATGGATGCTCTGCATTATTTCAAACACATTTTAGATTAAATTCCCAATATATTAAAAGGGTTTATAAACTCTTCCCATTAGTAAACTAATGAGAGAACACTCTCTTTTTTAAGAAGAATAACAGAGGCCTGCAGAAGTACCATTTTCAGGGCACTGCCCGGATTTTTTTTAAAGATTTTTTACGACCCGGCCTGGGTTTTTTTTAAAAAATTTTCAGGCCCGGCTCGGCTTTTTTTTTTAATTTTCAGGCTCGGCCCGGCTTTTTTTTAAATAAAATTTTCAGGCCCGGCCCGGATTTTTTTAAAATAAATTATATTTATTTTTGATTTTTATAGCTAATAATAACGATTTCAAATATAGGCTATTTTAAAAAATACAGCCCGGCCTGGGTGTTTTTTTAAAAATAATTCAGGCCCGGCTTGGGTGTTTTTTTAAAAAAATTTAGGTCCGGCCCGGGTGTTTTTTAAAAAAAAATCAGTTCCCGCCCGGGTGTTTTTTTGAAAAATTTCGGGCCCGGCCCGGGTATATTTAAAAATATTAAAATACTGTCCGGCCCAGGGGCCGCCTGCAGGTCTCTGAAAAACATACCAAGAAGTACAACATGTGAAAGTAGATTGAAAGGTTTGGATCTTTTGAATTTTCATAGGCATTTGACGACAAGCAAGGATGAGATAATTGAAAAATTAGTTCAATCCCAACGAAGATTGGATTTTACATTGTAAATATATAACATACAAAATACAATTATTCCTAAGAAACTTTTTGTGTAAAGGCTCAAAAAATTCAAATTTCTATTTTGGGTTATTTAAGTGATTCTTTATATATAATTTTTTTATAATTCACATTAATTTAAAATTGTGTATAAGGATTAGTTATTAGTCCTAATAAATTTATGCTTGATATTTTTAAAAAACAATAATATTTCTTTAAAAAATTTATTATCCCCCCCCCCAGACCAAATTCCTGCGTACGCGCCTGTCTGGATCCATGGGTAAAAGTTAGTTTTCATTATTAGTTTCAAACTGTAAATAACTATCCTATTATTTCATGCGTACTGATTTTTAGAATTTATATTAAAAAGGTACACATCTGCTGCATATTATTACTAACCATTTTTTTAGTGAAGATTGTGTGGAAGAAATTGATATTTTATAAAAACTGCTCTTTCTAATATTTAAAAAATTAAAATTTGGGTATTTTTTTCTGGTATCTATATTTCGAGGGTATTTTTATCCAGTGTCTTTTTGACCTGTCTACTTTTATTTGAGCTTTTATTTCCAGGACATCCAACCGATTAGTGGAAATCGAGGCTGTAAGGCTACTGGGGCATATAGGCAAACGTCAATAAAGTTTTCATCTTTATAAATAAATGTTTCAAATTTGGTCAAAGCATATATTTCTATAGGTACTATCTACCATATGTTTATTAGTAGTGGCAAGTTGCATCAAAGATATTGTTCAAAAACTAATTTTCCACTTTTCATCATCTTATCTTTGATATTTTTTATCTAGAGGCAAAAGTACTCTTTAGAATTTTATGAAAAGATTTCTTAATATATATGCTACCTACTTTTTGCTAGAGCAATTTAAGCTAACTCACTACCCCTGGGGCTATAATGCAAAGGGTTATGGCAAATTTGTCAAACAAGAATATCCTGGAACAACGACAACACAAAATATAACTGTATTTTCTGCTTAGATTTTACACACTAAACCATGACATATTTACTGATTATATTCCAAATATTTTGGATGACGTTATTTCTGATGGTACCCAAAACCCAGCCAGGCTCAGAACATCCGTCTCACTATCTATTCATGATAGCAGATAATACCCATAGAAGATGGGTATGAATCAAGATCGTCCTTTAAACATACTAAAAAGGGTATAGGAGGAAATAGGAAGGGAAGAAAGGTAGGAGATATGGTTCTTCTAGCTAATTTTATTGACAATTTTGATTTCCTTTTGATGGAAAATATTTAGGGGGAGGAGTTACTTAAAAAATTGGGAGTGAAGAGTAAATATTTTTTAAGGAGGTAATATTGTCGTAGAGGTAGCCTATATCAAGACTATAATCCCAAAAATGAAATAGGAAATAAAAATTGTTTTTATTGCGTAATGTGTAGCTTAAGTTAGAATGACATTAAAAGCTGCGTAGATTGGATATAGCTCCCCTTTATAGTGAAGACCTATTTTTTGAAAATTTTTATAATTTGTTTTAATTATGTTAAATTATAAGTAATTACAATAAAAAAAAATTTCATTAATTTTTATGGGTTTGCCATTTAAACCAGAAGAGATTAATATCTTACTATTCTAAATAGTGTCCCCAGTATAAAAGGTAGAATGCTCCCGTTTTTTTTAAATTTTCTAGTCTAATGATGAGGTTATTAAATGATGCAATTAGTAATCTTACAATAAAAATTATCGAAATAGAACAAAACACTTGCTATATAACTTCGGTTTCGGCTATTAAAAGTTTAGTTAATAAAAAATTTTTATCTTTCATGTTAAAAACTTTTTTGAAAATGCAAAACGATATCTTAAAAATTGCATATTTACAAATATATCCCAATTATTTGTCATATTGGAAATACTAATTAGGCTTTCAGTAACACATTTTATCTATTGATGGAATTGATAATCATTTTTCATCAAGATAAAAATAAATTTCATATCCATACCCCATAAAAAAAGGCTAGCTTCTAACACCCATAGTCAAATAATGTAAATATTTCTGATTCATCAGTCATTCTTAACGGACTATCTGCTAGAAGATAATAATAGAAATAATTTTATTTTTATTAAAAAAAAAAGGATATAAAATAGAAACATAAAATTATACCACTTACATTGTAAAATATCATTTAATTAATGTAAGAATATAGTACATAATTTTAAAATAATTCAATTTATATTAATTATAACGAACATACATCAAGGGATAATAGAACTTCAATTTATCACCGTAATGTTTCTGGTTATAGTCAAACACATTTTCGGCAAACTGCTTAAAAAATTGTTCCCTTAATCCCGCTTTGTCTATTTCGGCTAACACATCTGGAAAAAATCCCCGGAGATAATTTGTAGCCGCTTCCTGGGAAGGCTTTATCGAGTAATTGATCTCATCTAACTGTTCGATCTTTATTTTATCTTTGTCGTAGCCCAAATCGACCATTATTTTCTTGTAAGAGCTTATAGGGTCCGACTCCAGCATCCAAGCACGCCTCCATGGCAATAACAAATTTTCGTGGAGCTCCTTAAATTTTTTTAAATACGGACTCAATTCTTGATTATTTAAGACTCTTTCGGTTGCGTAAACCAAATTGTCGGCAACTCTATCGCCATATATCATTTTAATAGAGCCTACTTTCGGATTGATAACTTTGAGTAGATTAGCGAGGGCCTTCGTTTGATCTTCGATCCAATGAAAACACAGCGAAGACACAACGCAATCTATAAATTCACCTTTAACGGCATTGAATATAGTCTTCACCGCATCTTCGCTAGAAATATCTATATTAGAAAATTTCAATGATCTTTCATTGGCAGATGAATAATGTTCCTTAGCATATTCAATCATTGGTGAGAGCAGATCAATCCCTAAAACGTTTCCTTCGAATTCGTTTTCTTTATGGGTCGTCAATAAAGTTTTGTAAAGTAAATTGGTGGATTTACCTTCTCCGCAACCGAGATCCAATATATTATCACGTTCCTTAATGTAGGGGATTACGCGGGGAATAAGATAAGAGTAAACAGAGCATGCGTATGAGTTATACCTGGTGTAGGTCTCACAGTCCGAATTCATATACATTTTGAAAGTTTTTTATTATTATTATTGTTATACTTTGGTAATTAAAACAGTACTTGTTATATAAATGACAATTTTTAATTAATAACTCCTAAATAAAATAAATTTTTGAAACCAATTTTTATTATGAAAATAAAGAATAATTTTTCTTTTATAGTTTATATAAAATTTATAAAAAATTAATAAGATATAAAAAATGCAAATATATTATTTTAGATACAAATTAATTTTTTATTCAATGTTTTTTAAATTTTTTTTAAGAATTGTTGAATAAGATAGGTGGTATGTTATGTTGTTTATATATTTTTTTAAATTGAACTTTGCACTCATCTTATTTGTTATGTAAGGGCAAGTACAACTTAAGATTGAACTCATTTTTTGAACATTGTTTTCTTATCAAGGCGTATTTTATGATTTGATTATGATTTTTAATCCTTTAGAAACTTTATTTAAAATTTCTCTAAATATAATTCGGTACAATCTTCACTAACGAGATGCTCAATCGCAATATGAAGAAATGATTACATTTGGATGTTTTACTGTGTCTGATAAATTAATATTTAACTCAGAGATTTCCCAGCTTGAACCAAAGCCAGGCCCAGAATATCGGACCGAGCCGTATAATTTTTTTAGAAAATAAACTTGGGCCGGGTAATCCTAAAAAATATTTTTCCAACAACCCAGGAGACAGATCGAATTTTTTTAAAACCCCGTCAGATTTGGAACTTCCATTCCATTAGAGCAGATGGGATGGGGAATTATAAAGTAATTAAGTCACTATAAATAGAATTTTAGAGGGAGTAGTATATTTTTTTATAAAATTTTGATTCAATAAAGTTCAATTATTTACTGAGGAATAATAATTTAAGAATAAAGCATGTATGCTTTGAGCTTTTCAGAATATGCAAACCTAAATTACCTTAGAAAGTGCATTTAATTGTAAATATTTCTAAAAATGATTATATTGATAAAAATTATCTTTTGCTTATGCTATAGGACCGATATGTCTACATTAATGATCCCAAACAGCGATTTTACCCCTTAACAACCCCCCCCCCCCTTACCCGCTACTCCTAAATATTTGCCCCCTCCTCAAAAATTAATTTCTACCTTAAGATCTAGTTAATAAATATATTATTGATACAAGATAAATATAGTACAATTCATAGCAAAAGACTGAATATATTCCAAATGTAATTATATTAAATTATTGTAAAATAAAGAAATATATTGACTTATGTAATTTGACTTATATGTTTTAACGTCTGTTACGTTTCAGAAAACAATTGGCTACTTTCGGCGGGAATGTTATAAACATTCAACCAGGGTGGTAATGGCCCCTCCTCTCTCATCAAATTTATTTAACCCCTCCAAATAGAAAATTTGCATCGTTTTTGGCTTTTTCAAAAAATATAAATTTAGATATACTATGCATATTATAAAAATTCTTTCATTAAGAATTAGGCGTAAGTAGTGTCATTGCGAGGAGAAGGACGGACAGGGGTTCGAGCTTCTTAAAAAATTTGAATGACATAGGAATTTTAAAAAATTTTATTAAATTTTATATTTTAGATAATTGATGTAAAAATTTTATTTTATAAATTTAATTAAATAAATATAATGATTTATTAATTAAATCTGAAATATAAATTGAATTTCATATTATGTGATTTGTTTGTGAGTTAAGTATACAATGCCATGTCATAAAACAAATTTAATTCTATAGAACTATTTCAAACAATCTTTGAAAAAGGACTATTAAGGATTTATTTATAACCAAATAAACAATACTTATAAGAAGGGTATATTGGAAAAGACTAATCCAAATTATAATTATATATGGTAGGTTAGAGCTCCCTCTTAGAGGGCATGATGAAAGCGATATAAACAATAATCGAGGAAAATATTGTGAATTTTAAATTGATTGAAAGGATTCGATCCATTTTTAATGGTTTATAAACAACCGGGCAATGCCACAAAATCAAATACTTTCAATAGCGGAGAAATAATAATAAATTAATAGCTTCGCTAATAATGGAAGCAAATTATTTTGCTGTCCTGGCTGATGATCCTAACGATATAAATTCATTTGAACAATTTAATTTATCTATTAGATACTTGATAAAACAAATCAAAAAAATTACTTTTTAGAGTCATTGATAAAAAACACTAAAAATAATCTAAATAATAATTCAAAAAGGCTATTTGTGTTGCTCAAGGTGATAGGGCAAGGATTTAGGAGTCAAGGTGAGAAATAACAATATTCATAAAATGGCTATATATGTGTACTGCTATTCACATAAGAAATCAATACCTCAATTAACCGAGTTTTTAATGCTTAAAAAGACATTTGTGCTTTCTTTTAAAGCTGTGAATCATAACGAATTTAAAATATCGTTTTGAGTTCTAGACTATGAGGATCCCTTATAAGAATGATAGAAACAAAAAAAAATCCCTGCAATCATTTCATATCTAGAAAATAGGACCTCGGTGATATTGTGAGAGCAAAGAGTATTTTATACATTACTTTACAATTTTGATACAATTATTTTATGTTCATATTTCAAAAATTATTATCAATGTAATCAAAATATTTCTAATTCTTTGCAAAAGCTATTGAATATCGTTTCTATGTCCGAAATAAGATATGATTCTTATTTATCTCTGTTATTTAATGAAGCAAATAAATATTGTAGTTTATTTTTATTTAATATAAAAAATCAGAAATAAAATAACGAAATTATGCTTACATTTTGAAAGACACAGGTGACGTCTTTTTGTTAATTTCCCTAATCAAACAGATATTTATAGGTATCATGTATGTTAAGTAGTGTTGTAAAGTAACGAACATTTAAAGGTCGTTACTAACAGGTTACTAATGTGTGGAAAGGCACACCATTCGTTACTTGTTTCTAAAGTCAATGAGTAGCGCATTTTTTTGAGTAACGATAAAGCAAAATGTTGCCCTAAATATTTTCTTAAAAATATATAAAAAATATATATTATATTTCTTTAAATTTTATAAATAATTTAAGGCGAGAATTTAATACTTATCCGCCAGCAATGTCATTTTAGGGGAGAAGTGGTATAACTGACTATTTTACTTTAAAAAAAAATCTATTTAAGAATTAGTTAGTCAAACAAATTAATATCAATGTGTAGCCCAATCCTTAATCTTAAAATAAAGTATAAATTATAGCCTATCTACAATAGTTTTTGAGTTAGGTGAGGTTACGTGAAAGTTGTTTTTCTGACCAGTCAAAACTTTGATTGGTCATAATATATTATTTAAGAATTTTATTATAAATATGAAATATTACAATATATAATACTTGTATAGAGACCTATGTTAATATTTCTTCCTTTTTTAAGTATTTAAAAACCTAATTATTCATTAATTTAATTAATATAAAAATCTCAATTTATTATCCGATTCATCTAGTTATCATAATATTTTATAAAAGATTATCTTAATTATCTGTATGGGAGACCGGGGTAAAACGATCGGTTATTTTCTTTTTATGATAAAAGAATAAAAAAGAACAAATTATAGATTTATATTTATTCAAAATTACGAAAGATTCAGGTTGTCACCACTCATCTTTGAAACAAATATATATATATAAATATATTAAACTGTAGTAGTTATTACTACTTCCGCCGGTATTTTTTTTAAATGTCCACCCCCTTCCCTTTGACCACCATTCCCGTTAATTGTGGGTTTTTAATATTATATTTTATACTCAATATATATTTATGATAAAAAATTTTACCATTTTTTTTAAAATATAGATATTAAAATAAAATATATGATTATTTCTTTGTTATTTCGATTATTTGCATTTATAGGCCTGAGATGCCAAAGAAGATGAAAAATATTATTCTTTATTTTTATTACTTTTTTTTGTATATGTGAAAAAGAATTAAATAAATATTATATTATATTATATGTTTGTTTTCGCAGGAGATGTTTTATAGTGATTTATGTTAGTGAATGCTATGTTTTGATATATTGACGTTTTTTGTTATTATTGTTTTAATGAAAATGTGTAAAAAGAAAAAAAAATAGAAAAATATTATTATAATTATGAAAGTTATGATATAAATTTGAAATAAAAAAATACGGTTGTTAAAATTGTTAGTATATTAATTTTCTGCGAGTGTAACCCTATATTCCACAATTTGTAAAACTTCATAATAAAAATATTTTTATTTTATGAAATATATTTGATGTTGTAGAATTATTATTGTTATCCATTTTTTTCCAAAGGTAAATATAATATATCGATATACACATCATTAAAATGCAAATAGAATAGCTTTTCAAATATATAAATATATTAAATTTCTGATAACAAAGTTAATTTTAAATTATTGCTCAAATATTTTTTCAATTTTTCTCTAAAACTCTATATACAATTGTTATTTCAAATATATAAACATTTCTCATTTCTGATTAAGAAAAATCAATTCCAATTAGTGATTAAATGGCACAAGTTTTTTACAAAACAATACAATTTTTTGTATAAAAAATAAAAGTTCTATACGAGAATGTTTAAAATACGAGCTCGTATAAAATCCTTTGATCTATTTTTTATACGAACCAGGAGTCAGTTTAAAAATCTCTGCTCTTATAAATAAAAATAATATATTTTGTAATTTTTTATACGAGTTTATTTAATTTAAAATACATAGCTCGTATAAATCCTTTGATATTTGTTTTTATCTGCTCGTTTATAAATAAAATTCTTATTTATTTTTTTTTAAAAAAAACAAATATTGACTCCAGCGTTTTCTTAAATTTCGAATAATTTAATCTTTTCATCTTCATCATTCAATTCCTTAATCAAAGAAAAAATCTTATTTTTGTCTCTCGTTTTATTCTCAATTGATTCTAAAAATAAGATAAACTTAACTTATTCCTTGAGGAAAAAGCTGAAAAATAGGAACTTAAATATAAATTATCGCTTGGTATTTTTTAAAAACATATCATATCTAGATCT